TAGTAAAAATTAGTATTTAAAATGTTATATGTTCCCCAATCCATGCCAACATACAGTTTCCATTGCATTTCTTTATATACCTGAACAAACATACCACTGTGAGGTAGTTTCTTTATTGGCAACTCACATCAATCCAGTACTCAAACCATGACCCCACATCCACACCCACCTTCATTCCCAGTGTCCCTTTTATACTTCCTCTTGTCATTTGATTGTTTCTTCTCAAATTGATAATTACTCCTGAAGGGATCTTCCACATCTTCCCTTCTCCAGTCTTTTCTTTGCACTTAATTCCTTTTCAAGGAATCTTTCAGGTCATCTTATTGTTCTTCCTGACTTGATGGTTCTTGATTTTTTTCTGCCTCCCTTTGATGTTTCTCCCTACTTTTCCATAAATCTTTCCTGTTGTCTTTTTTCAATTAGGACTCAGATTTTCATCTGCTCTTTTACTGAACCAGATTATTCCTCAAAACTTTTCCTTTCTGTGTTCCTCTCTATTCCTTTGTCGCTGTACCTGAGGTTTTAATATTTTTCTCTGTTATGAATAGGTGTCTTAATCTTGACAGCAGCAAGTGTTTCCTGCAATGTTTACCGCCTTTTCCCACATCTTCAGTTTGTTTTGTTCTCTTCAATCCAATTGACTTGCAGACATCCAGGAAAGTGTTCTATCCCTCGGCACATTGTGAATTTCCTGTATTCATTGCTCATAAATTGTAGCCTAGTCACTAGTTTGTTTGTGGTATTCCATGGCAAGCATATTTTTATTTGGTTTTATCTATTATAGTCTCTGTGGTCATGTCATTCAGATCTGTATATTCACTATATCTTGATGTGTAGCCCACTACCATAAGGTAATCTGAGTCATTGTGACTTCGCCACTGCCTCACCCCTCAGGCTGCCAAAACCCTTACCCATGCATTCATCACATCAAGGCTCGATTATGGAAATTCCCTCTTCATCGGCCTTCCCAACTCTTCGCTTCACAAGCTACAGATCATCCAAAACTTTGCAGCTCGTACTCTAGTGCACCAGGCTCCATGACCCCATCACTTCCACCCTCGCCCGACTCCACTGGCTTCCCATCCCTCAGATGATCGAATTCAAGATCCTTGTCCTCACTTTCAAGGCCATCCATGGCCTTGCCCCCTCTTACCTCTCTGACCTGCTGACTCCCTACCAAGCTGCCCACTCCCTCCATTCAGCGGGCTCCATGCCTCCCGCCTGACCCGCCCTACCCATGCATTCATCACATCAAGGCTGGAACTCCATCCCACAGTCCCTTCGCCTTGCTTCCTGCCTTGCCTCCTTCAAGGCCGGTCTCAAGACCCTTCTCTTCAATCATGCCTTCGGTCGCCTTCCTACCTTTTTGCCTTCCTTCACCCCACCCCTCCCCCATGCTCGGGTCCTGAGCCCTGACTGTCCAGCACCTTCGGATGTCCTCCCGACGTGAAAGGCGCTCTATAAATGTAATTTTGTTGTTGTTGAAGTTTCACATCTTGCTTTCTCTATTCCCTTTCATTTATTTTCAAGAATTTCTCTAATTCCTGTGGGATTATTTTATCTCAGATTTATTATTCCTTTATGTTGATATTTAGTATCTGAGACAGCATCCGTTAAGGTCGCAAATGACATCTGTGACCAGGGCTGCCTCTGCCTCCTCACCCTACTGGACCTCTCTGTCACGTTCGACATATTTGACCACTCCATCTTTATCCATCACCTATCCTCCCTCATCCGCCTTCGTGGGACCGCACTCGCCTGGTTCAAGTCCTACCTAACAAACTGCCTTCACTTTGTCTCTTCAAACAGTTTCTCCTCCCGCCCCTGCCCGGTTTGTGACCCTAACATCTCCACCCTCGCTCGGCTCCACTGGCTCCCCATCCCCCAGAGGATAGTGATCAAAATCCTCATCCTCGCCTTCAGGGCCCGCCATGGTCTCCTCTCGAATAATTGAAGCGAATTAGAGATTATTGCAAAGATTCAGAAATCCTACTCAAACCAGTGCCAATTATGTTTTATGTTTGCCATTAAGTTCAGGGGTCACAGTATTTGCACATACCTGTACCTTGTCATGCAATCTGGTTTGCATAGTCTGTCCAAATTCAGTTTACTTCTGATACCACATAATGATATACAATCCATAGCACTGGTGTGTTACGCAGTTCCTTATTAAGAACTCACAGCAACCAAATACCAAAACCCACAACACTCCCAACCTCCCCACCCACAGACACCCCCCCAAACCCCAACCCACCCATACACACACTCCACCCACACGCACTCTTGTAACATATTGGTTAGCGCGCTTGCCTCGCAAGGGAGAGGTTTGATTCAGGCAAGCTTCCTTACTCTACACGCTTCTGTTTACATAGCAGTAACTAGGAACCCGGTTGTTATTCCGTTGGAGATCGCTTTCTGGAGGTAATAATCCCCCCCCCCCCGAGCCCCACATAATAATTTGGTCACTCAATCCACGACTGTTTATGAGACAATTGAGAAAAAGTACTATTTAGAAATACTTAGAAATGCTTAGAATACTTTAGAAATAGAATTACAGGAACATAATCCTTGCATTTGATATAGTGCCTTATTGCGTCTTCGAGAATTCTCAAAGCACTTCACAGAATATACTGTAAAGTAAATTTACTGTATATTTTGCGGGTGAAACGCAGCAGCCAATTGTGCACAGCAGTGTCCCACAAACAGCCATGGATTGAGTGACCAAATTATTATTTTTTTAAAGGGATTATTACCCCCAGAAAAACAGTCCACCAATCAACTAACAACCCTGGGTTCTACTTACTGTTAGGTAAACAGAGGCTAGCAGAGTAAGGAAACTTGCCTAACGTTTTGCCAGGCCCGAGAATCGAATCCGGGTCCTCCCACTTGCAGGGCGAGTGCTCTAACCAATATACTACAGGACTCCATAATAAAAAACACTATAAGAAACATATATCACCCACTGCAGTTATTATATTAAGGTCAGGAAAGATTTTGTAAGTTGGTACAAGGCACCGCAATAAAATGATTTTTTTTAAAGATCTTACAATTCTGAAAGGAAAAATGATATTTCATACTTATTTCTTCCAAAATGGAATTTGTTCAGTGTGCAGTGAAAAATATTATCGTAACAATGGTCTAAATACATATAGAGTTGTTTATAGAGTTGTTCAAATAGCCTGTCAAAACTGTTGGGTTCACATAAAAAATAGTCAGTTCAGTCAGGTATTAGCGGGCAAATGGCACCTGTGAAACTATAGCTCAATAGGACTCAGGGCCCTTAGGAGAGATTTGGAAGGAAAATCAAATAAATAAAATCTTATTTCATCCTTAAAGTGACCCCTTCCGTTGCCTCCTTCAAGTTCTGTCTCAAGACCTTCCTCTTTGACTATGCATTTGGTCATCTTCCCACCTCAAACCCCCGTGCCCTCCACCCATTGTGACTCTAACTTCCCAGTTCAGGTGTAAACCCCTGACTGTCCAGTGCCTTGGGATATCCTCCCGATGTGTAAGACTCTATATAAATGCAATTTGCTGTTGTTGTTTTAAATATTATTATTCCTGTATGGGATTTCGAAAGTATGATGATGTTTTAGAATAAGTAATGAAGCATGATGCACATGCACTCTTTTGATTAGACCTTATATCAATACTTATAGATTAAGGAATTAATAGTTATTTGATTACAGTAGATATACATATTATCAAATGTTTCTTACTGAAACTTAAACCGTGAAAACATTCTGAAGTCATTCACAAGTGCATTGCTTATTTTTTTTGCACTTATGAACTTTTTAACAAGAAAAGCAAAGAGGCAGCTGCCTTCTTTCTAAATTTGACTGTGTTTAAGTTTTAAATGGAAGGAGTCAAACCAAACATATGATTCTTGACTGGCTTGTTTATCTCCAGTTGCAAGACCAGCCACCAATTGTATATGACTGTGAGTTCCTCAGTAACACATTATTAGTATGGCCTGAACTCCTAAGGGCTACAGAATGACAGAGCAAATTGTTCAGGGAATGTTCTAAGATTTTTGTTACTAGTTTTTTCCCTCAACTATGATTCTGGCATGTTATGATTATCATTGGAATTTCGTGTAAAGTAAATATTTACAGATAAATCTTCAGAGATTTAATAATAATAATAATAATTGCATTTGATTTAACTCGTTGTTTGTGATGTCCTCCAGATGTGAAAGTACTACATAATTGTCATTGGTTATTGTTGTTTGAATTGTAATTATTTTTTTATAGCAGACAGCTTTGCAATCACAGATGGTATTGATATAATATCTGGACATTGAAGCAAATGTGCAGGTTTAGCAATAGAATAAGATTCCAATATTTCAGGCATTACAGCTATTAATGGACAATTCTATTAGAATGTATGTAGTGCCAATTTGAATTTCAAATACATCGCATAGATATTGTGTTAAAATGCTTGCTTAGAACGCAAGACTCGGGTAATAATTGATACTTACTTGTCAGCTGATTCTATTATTCAGACTATATTGCTAAAACCCTAATCACAGGGCAAGAAGCAAAGGTAAAGCAATTCACAAGCTCACAGATTAGGATGACGAAGGTCCTTCAGCCCACTTGATATCATCCTTCCAGAATACCCATCCTACCATCTTCCCATTACAGCATCAAACTGTTTCTTAAATGAGTTCAGCGTTCTGGCAAACTGTTTTTTTTGTTCTGCTGCCTTGGCATATCTGAATACATTACTTTCTCAACCCATTTAAAATCTTCTATAACTACTATTAATTGGAGAACAAGGAGACAGAACAATGGAACTCTGATGTGGATGCTTGTGTACCTTCATGTGGATGTTAAAATTAAGATATCAGAGTTCATCACTGAATAGTTACATGATTTCCTTTGTACACTGATAATTAAATTGTTGGGTAGTAAATCACATGTTAAGACTCGTGCTGTTTCTGTACAAATTAATCCCAATCTGCCTAATAACACAGGCCTATTTTATTTTTCTTTCAGGAACGAGTGGAATATCTCTTTCTGATCGTTTTTACCGTGGAAGCATTTTTGAAAGTAATAGCTTATGGACTTATCCTTCACTCTAATGCTTACCTCAGGAATGGCTGGAATTTGCTAGATTTCATCATAGTGGTTGTAGGGTGAGTGTCGATCTTACTTATACTGAAGTCTCTTACAATCATACACTGCTTAATCTGTTACTAACTGGGGTGTTAACTGTTTTCTATGGTTATAATTATTATGCTGTTCAAAGGAACAAGTGTCACTGCTCCAGGGATTGGGACCATTTGTTTTAATTTTTGAACCAGCGAAAAATGTTTCATTCTGGTATCCATGGATTGATGGAAGCATGTACTGAGAAAGTTAGTTAATGTCCTGTGATGACATGTCCTGTATCCATGTACACGATTCAACAGGTAACCTTTGGTAGAAAGAACCTCTTCAGTGGCTGCACATTTTACAAACCGTGTGCCTGCTGAATCAGTTGAAGGAGGGATTGTTTATATGAGAAAACATGCCACTGCCTTGAGGGTGTGACTTTCTTGCCCAATAGGAAGATGGTGGGACCTTGATCAGTAATTAGAGTAAATGCAATGTGGATGTGTTTGAAGAAAGCAAATTGAGTGTCTTTGCTAAGGTTTGAGTTTAACAGGAAAATTGTGTGGAAGGAACTTGGTTTTCATCCAGATGAACTGATCTGTTTGATCAGGGTGCCAGGAAAAGAACGTTTTGAGAAGTTTCAAAAATGCATAGCTGGTCAAAGTTTTTTGGGAGAGATTTGAAGTGAAGAAGCAGGATAAACCTTTGACTGAAGAGACATTATTGGGTACTGAGACTGGTGATAAACTTTACTGACCTGGGACTCTTTGGAATGGTGCAAGAAGGTGGGTTGGTTTGTTTCCAGATCCTCTGGTTCTCGTGGTGATGAAACACTTGCTGAGTCCAATAACTTTGGGAGTATTGAGTGCATATATTGTATACCAAGGAATGCCAAAGCTATGTGGGAGATTATGGCATTTGGTGGCAGTATGCCCTGAGATGAGGTGCTGGAATTGTGGACAAAACCATGAGATTGGTGGGTGCCAGGTACAACAACAACAACAACAAGATTGCATTTATAGAGCGCCTTTCATGTCGGGAGGACGTCCCAAGGCGCTGGACAGTTGGGTCGGGACCTGAGCAGGGGGGAAATGGTCAGGGTGAGGGGAGGGAAGGGAGGGAGTGAGGAGGGGGTAGAGAGTCGAGAGGGGAGCTGAAGGCACAGTTGAAGAGAAGGTAGGTAGAAAATAAAATTTTATGTGGTGAGGAAGGGCACCTATATAGAAAGTACCTGCAATCATATGCAAACAAAGTGAGAATGGAATGTAAAAGATGGTTGGTGGGGGTGGAGAAAGGAGGGAGAATGAGTTGTTTGGGGACGAATGTGAATCATGCAGGCAAGAGATGGAGAGGCGAGAAAGTGTGATGTTGGAGGAAGGCATTGTCTTCACAAGTGGGGAATGGAAAGATGAGCAGTTTGTCTTCTTCAGAAATGAGGACTCTGGGAGTGGTGAGTAAGGAAAGGGAACAATTGCGGAAATGCCAGAGAAAGCTGATAATGATGAGGGAACTAAGGACAAAATTTAGGAAAGAGAGGAAAAGGGAAGCGAGAGGAAAGAGACCAATAAGAAAGTGAGAAACAGTGGTAAAATGGCCACTGGAGATGTTAGTGTCTTCCCAGGTGTGGGTGAGATGGAGGAAAATACCTGGGAGGAGATGATGGGAGAAGAGGAAAGCTGAAACAAACTGGAAGGGAAAGTTGAGGGATCACTGGAACTAGTAGTGATACTGGTGAGAGAGTATCCACAAATGATGGAGGATTAGCGTTTGTCTTGGAAAATGAAGGTGAGGGAAACTCGGGAGAGAAACAGCTGGAGGTATTGGAACAGGGAACAAAAGGATATATGAGGTGAAGAGGGTACTTAAGAAGGTGAGGTGGAAGGATGGGGCGAAAGATTCCAGAAAAGTAGGGAAGAGGAAAATTCCTCTGTCTGGGGAGGAAAGAGTGGCGTATTTGGTAAAAGTGGTGTGGACTGCTTTCTTGAGGGTGTCGAGTGAGAGGGGAGCATATGTCAAAAATAAGTAAGCAAAAAAGTTCAAGGAGGTCAAGGAGTTTTTTTTGCTAAGTGTGAAACCTAGATATAACTGGGATGTTCTGTTAGTTTATATAGCAAATGTGAGTAAACAAGGTCGAGATAGGAACATGTAATCTTCTTACCTTGGCTGAAGTGGGATTGTTTAGATGGGGGTATTTTTCTTGGGCTGGAAATCAAGTAAAACAGGTGTTGCATGTTTAATTGCTATTATACCAGATTTTAATCGTTAAGTGTAGTGTGGATTGTTTTGCGTTTCTTGAAGTTGAGATAATATAGAGAAGGCTTTGGTTTTAACTTGATGAAGATTAGGAGGGTATTGCCTTGAATTTTTTAATAAGTTGTATTTCCGCACATAGATGTGGGGTTTGTTTTTTGCATTTCATACAATTTCATCGAATAAATAAGTAACTTAATACACCAGTGTTGTGGATTGAGAATCAGTACGCTAATAGCCTTGTAAGCTGTTCAACCTGAGGCCATTAAATACCTTATTTCGATTTCTTAATTAAATTAGGTTTTAAATTCTGTGTTTTTATAGTAAACCAACAAGAATAAAGTATACAGAGAATAAAGAAAAATTAAATAAATCTATGCTGATATTATCTTAGCATTTTTATTTGGTTGAGATTCAAATCTTATTTAGCTGATAGATCAAACTATCTATCTTAATAACAATTGAAATAATGTGTTCTGAAAAGGTTATGTGCTGTACAAAGAGTTTCATTCATTGTCCAGTATGTTACTGTCAATCGATTGCTCAGATTGAATGCACAAGATGCAGATTGAAAGTCTACTTTATAACTTTGTGCTATATTTTGGACAATTATGAGTTCAACAGAATTAGATTCAGACGTCCAACCTACTGCATTTGAAGGTTTAAAAAGTGTTGTACTTGGTGATTTTTTTCTGAGCACCAGGGCAGGTCCAATTTGCAATTGCCTAATTCTTAATATAAACATTAAGAACTAAACATTAAGAACTGAGCAATTTTATTGAACACTTTTCTAAATGAGTTTTGTTTCCTTTTTCAAAAGATTTGGCTTAGAAATCTACAATCTGATCAATCATAAAACAGTTTTCTTTTTCTTTTACTCATCTCTTTATTTATATAGAGCCACTGAAAAGGGGTTGGGGAACGCAGTTTGATTCTTGGTACAAAAGCAAACAGCTGTTGCTGCAGACAAGTGCACATGCGCTGCTTCTATTTGAAGAGGCCTAAACATCTGTTTTCTGTGAACCTTCACACATGGAATCATTCTGCACTAATCAGCTAGTACAAGCTTTAAACATTAATGCAGCTACTTATAAAAAGGAAATTTAAACAAACACTACTTCACGTTTTGTGTTAATCCAGGAAACAATTCAGCTATTATATGTATTTTGTACTCATTCATTTAGTTAGTTCTCAATATCTGTAGAGTGTGGGATTCTTTATATATATTTACAACTCCATCCCACATTCCCTTCACCTTGCTCCCTCCCTTGACTTCTGCAAGCGCATCTCAAAACCCTCCTCTTCGACCGTGCCTTCAATCACCCTCCTACCACTATCCTCGCTGCCCTCCACCCCTCCTGATCCTATCCCCCTGCTCAGCTCCAAATCCCTTATCCAGTGCCTTGGGACATCCTCCCGATGTGAAAGGCACTATACAAATGTAATTTGTTGTTGTTGTTGTTCAAAGCTCGGTATTCCTGCAGTACACACTGACCATTAACATAAACTCAGCTGCAATACCACTAACAAAATTGTGAACACCATGGAATTTAAAGACATTCTCAAGATTGCTTTTCAATATTGCAAGAAATGTATTTGTGCGTTCTGCTGATATCTGGCAGGCCATCTTTGGTCTCTTTGAGGCCTGATGGTGTACAAGAAGCAGCTTGAGGTTATTGGCAGTTTCCATTCTACAATTTGCGTTAATAATCCAATCAAAAATATTTTTATTTAGAAACGTTTTCTTTGGTCTGTCTACTCCAAAATACCCACTTCAGGAGCCTGGGTAAAATGAACCCGTATGTTCATGCCATATAAATAAAAGAGAATAATACCAACAGAATGGGCTACTCCAAACCCTGACCTATGAGCTTGTTAGCAGTTATTACCCACTATGACCAAAAAAAGTGATTAGCTGCACCAAGGAGAATTTTTTTAAAACACCATGGTGTGACCAATACTCAAAATTATTCATGCTTATTTATGCCTAAATCCATATGATATTAATTTTATACCAAGGCCAAAATAGGATCCAATTGTGTATTTTTGGAATGCTTTCAAAAAGCTGTTTTCATTTTGATACTCTGCAGGGCAGGAGGGACTAAATGGCCATACAACCTAGTAATCGTTAAACTAGACCAATCACCTCTCTATAATGAGCAGTTAAAAATCGATCAAGATAATTTCCTTGCAAACATTTCAAGTGGGGCACATGGGTTTACATAGTACTCTGGTTCACTTGTGTGCTCACTGCAAATTGAAATGTCACAATACTCCCAGAACTATGGCTCCTCCAAGGTAGTCAAACAACATCCTGTCCATCTGTGACCAGGGCTTCCTCTGCCTCCTCGTCCTCTCTGCTGCCTTCGATACCGTGGACCACTCCATCCTTCTCCATTGCCTCTCCTCTCACCTCAACCTTCAAGGTTTTGTCCTTGAATGGTTCAGGTCTTATCTCTCACACCATCTCCAATTCGTCTCCGCTAACGGTTTCTTTTCCAGTCTCCACACAGTCTTGTGCGGTGTTCCTCAGGGTTCTATCCTCAGTTCTCTCCTCTTCAACCTCTACATGCTCCCTCTTGGGGACATCATCCTCAGTTATGGGGTCAACTTCCACTTGTACACAAATGACATCCAATTCTATCTCTCTGCCTCCACCCACGATTCCAGGACAACTGATGTCCTAACAGACTCTCCGTCAAACATCAGGTTCTGGATGAGAGCCAACTTTCTACACATGAATGTCAGCAAAACTAAGGCTCGCCTGATTGGCTCCTGCCAGCGCCTCCGC